CTGGCTGGCCCCCTCCCTGGCCGGCCTCTCGCTGACCCCCTCGCTGGCTGGCCCCCTCACTGGCCGGCCCCCTCGCTGGCCGGCCCCCTCGCTGGCTGGCCGAGGCTCTCCTGTCTCGGGACCTTTGCACATGCTGCCTGCTGCCTGCACACTCTGTCCTTTACTCCTGCAGGGCTCCTCCCTCGTCCTCTGCCTAAGTGTCTTCTCAGACCAGAGTGTCAGAAAGGAAGAGCCTCGCTGTCGTCCTCATCAGCCCACAGGCCCAGTACCGAAGACCCCGGACCAAGAGGCCCCCAAACACATCTGGGAACAGTGAGGAAATGCTCTCCTAAGCTGGGGCTGGACCCACCCCGCTCGCAGGGTGCCCTCCCCGCTCTGGCTCTCCTCATCCTCAGTTTTACAGACGGGAACCGAGGCTTGGTAAGAATTAGTGTCTTTGGCCAAAGCTGGAACGGAAAGGGCAGAAGTGGCTGTCTGAAACCGCACTCTGCGCTCACTGTCGGCACTGCCGGAAGTTAGCTATCTCCTCACTGCGGGATACGAACTCCGGGCAGAGCTCCCGCAGAAGTCGCCACCCATGGCTGTGAGCACACAGAGAGGGCTAGGGCCACAGGAAGGGCAGTCACGGGCCCTGCCTCCTGCCCCCACAGCTGGCCAGGGCTGGGCCTCTGAGGTCTCATCTTGGAGGTGGGGTCTCCTAGAGCCCAGGCCGCCAGGAGGGGCTGGCCGGTGAGGAGAGCGCTCCGTCCACCTCCGAGGGCTGGAATTACAGCCTGTGTCCTTATGCCTGGCTCGTTTCTTGTAAGACAGGGTCTCCTGTAGCCCAGGCTGGCCGCAGAGTTAGCATGTAGCTGACCACGATCCTCCGGCCTCTGCCTCCCAAGTGCTGGGCCCACAGGTGCGTAGAGCCCACCGGCTCAAATAGAAACATTTTATTACTATTATTTCCCTTTTCTTTTTCTTTCTTTCTTTTTTCCTTCTTTTTGTTTTGTTTTTTGAGACAAGGTTTCTCTGTGTGGCCCTGGCTGTCCTGGACTCACTCTGTAGACCAGGCTGGCCTGGGACTCGTAGTGATCCTCCTGCCTCTGGGATTCCAGGCGTGCACCCTGGCTATTGCTGTAGCTCATCCCTGGAGAACCCTCACGGCCGCAGAGCTGCGGCTCCTTCCTACCTGGTATTTGTTGGTGGAGTTGAAGGGGATCTCGGCCACTTTCTTGTTGCGCTCCCGCATCAGCTTCACGGAACCCGAGGACAGCTCGATGCACTTGAGCAGGGCGGACTCCGAAGCGTCGCCGGCCACGTCCCTCTGCGGCAGGAGAAAGCCAAGTGAGGCGGCAGTGCGGGGGAGGGGAGTGTGCAGGGCCAGGCAGGCGGGTAGTGCGGGGTGTGTGTGTGTGTGTGTGTGTGTGTGTGTGATGCAGGGTGGGAGGGCAGGGTAGAGGGTGGGAGGGGAGTGTGCAGGGTCAGGCAGGCGGGCAGTGCGGGTGGGTGGGGGGGTATGAGGGTGGGAGGGGAGGTGGAGGGAGGGTGTGTGGGATGAGGGTGGGAGGGGAGGCGGAGGGAGGGTGTGGGATGAGGGTGGGAGGGGAGGCGGAGGGAGGGAGGGTGTGGGATGAGGGCCGGGCAGGCAATCTGGAGCACCCACCTTCAGCACGGGGATGTTGTCCTGGCCGCCCTTGAAGACAGCCCGGTTGCACAGCCCGGCGATGTGGGACAGGGCCACCCAGGTGTGAGAGCTCTTGTCGAATGAGGTCCCTGTGGGAGTCCCGAACGTGAGGCCAGGGGACTCCCGGGGGGCGGGCGCCCCATGCCCACCCTGAGCCCTACCGACCTGACTGGTCCTCAGTGGTGTCGGCCTCGTGGATCTGGTTGTCAAACCACATGTGGGCGACGGTCATGCGGTTCTGGGTGAGTGTGCCGGTCTTGTCGGAGCAGATGGTGGACGTGGAGCCCAGCGTCTCTACGGCCTCCAGGTTCTTCACCAGGCAGTTCTTGCGGGCCATGCGCTTGGCGGTCAGCGTCAGGCACACCTGGACGGCAAGGGTGCGGGTGTGCCCAGATGCCCACAGCTCGCCCGCCTGGCCTCGGCTCAGGCCACGGGAGCACCCGGCGCTGTGCGTGAGCCTCAGCTGTGGCCTCAGAACACACACTCACACCGACTGAGGCGGGGGCGGGGGCTGGAGAGGGGGGGCAGTGACTCACAGTGACTCGGGGCACACGCACACCTCTGGAGACTGCTGCCCCTGGGCCCCCTCCCCCAGGGCCCTCCCCCAGAGAAGTAACAACCAGGGCTGTTACACAGAGGAACCCTGCCCCGAAAAACCAAAACGTAAGTAAACAAATAAAAATGGTTAAAAAAAAAAAAAAAAAAAAAGGTTACAGTGTCTCAAAGAAGAAAACAAAAACAACAAACCAACCCTGCAGTCAGGATGGGCAGAAAGGGCCGGCTGGGGCGCAGTCAGAATATTATCCACCAATGAAAAAGTCTGCGTTATGGCTGTCTACAACCACGTGGATGAAACTTGGTAAAACAGTTCAGTTAAAAAGAGCCAGATAAATCGGGGTGGGGGAGGGGGGCTGGCACACGCCTTTAATCCCAGCACACGGGAAAGAGAGGCAGGCAAGATCGAGGCTAGCCTGGTCTACAGCGCGAGTTCCAGGACAGCCAGGGATAACCCCCCACCCCCTAAAAAAAGAGAGCAAGGTGTATGCCTGTGACCCCAGCCCTTGGGAGGCCGAGGCAGGAGAAGCACAAGTTCAAGGCCTTACAGGACTACGTGGGACCCTGCGCTCCTACAAGAGACCCGGGTAAGAGTTCACGTAGAATAAGCCCATTGGAAGGAAGTTTTGAAAAAGGGGAAATAATTTACGTTATCAGAAACCAGAGTTAGGAGTTCTCTTGGCTGAGGGTTAGAGCCTGAATCAGGCCACGAGGGGAGCTCTGTGTGGGGAAGCTGAGACAGTGTTTTTGGCTTTTGAGGTTAAGATGCTCTCTCCCTCTGTGTGTGCGTGCGTGCGTGCGTGAAGCCTTCAACACTGGACAGTTTATCTGTTGACTGAAAGGAAGGAGGAATGGAGTAACACCTATGACACCTCCTCTTCAGACCCTGAGAGCAATACTGCCGGGCCCGACAGAGACCCCTGCGTCAAGCCCCGGGTCACATCCCTGATGCCACAAAACAAAGGAGAAAGAAAGCCAGCCAGGGGGTGGAAACCCCGGGGACCCCAGGTCGGCTGAGGCCGTGGGGAACAGACCCCGGGAACCTCGGGCCTGCTGAGGCAGTAGGGCTGATGGTCAGGATCGGTGGAGAGCCACTTTATAATAAAATCAGAAAAATGGGCCACAAGATGGCTCCGTGGAGCAAAGCACTTGCAGCTGAGCCTAGGACCTGAGTTCAGTGCACACAGCACACACACGGCGCAAGGAGAAGGGAAAGTTGTCTGCTCGCCTCCGTGTAGTGCCGTGGTGCATGTGCAAGTGTGAATACACAGACACCGTGTGCCGCCAGGCGGGCCACGCGCATGTGATAAACTCCAAGAAAGGGAAGACAGGGCTCAGTGGTTAAGAGCACCGTCTGCTCTTTGAAACGACCGGGGTTCCATCCCCAGCACCCACAGGCAGCTCACAACTGCAACTTCAGTTCCAGGGGTCCTGACACCTTCACACGAATGCACATAAAACAAACTTAAACAGATGAAAAAAGAAAGAAAGAAAAGGAAGGATCACTCCACTTCCACCATGGTGAGTGTACCCCAAGTCTGTGAGCTGAACTGGAGGGCAACAGGGGCAGATTGCTTAGTGGTTAGCAGCACCGGCTGCTCTGGCGGAGGACACAGGTTCAGCTCCCAGCACCCACATGGTGCCTCACTGTGCGTCCAGTTTCCAGGGGACCCAGCGCTTTCTCCTGACCTCCAAGGCTTCAGGCATGGCACACACACATGCAGGCAAGCTGGGCTCGGCCACATGCATGCACGTATGTGTGTGAGATGGCTGGACGCTTGCAGGGGACCTGGTTCTGGTGCTAAGGTCTGCATGGCGCTCCTAACCTGTAATTCCAGTTCAGGGCATCTGACACCCTCAGACCCAGGGAACAGACCCCAGCCTCCTCCCTCAGACCAGGGGTCCAGGCCCAGCCTCCTCCCTCAGACCTGGGGTCCTGGCCCAGAGCCCTCCCGGGGGCTCAGCCTTACCGTGACAGTAGCCAGCAGCCCCTCAGGGACATTGGCCACGATAATGCCGATGAGGAAGATGACAGCCTCGAGCCAGGTGTACCCCAGAATGAGGGAGAGGATGAAGAAGGAGACGCCCAGGAACACAGCCACACCGGTGATGAGCTGGATGAAGTGCTCAATCTCGATGGCAATGGGCGTCTTGCCCACCTCCAGGCCCGAGGCCAGCGTGGCAATGCGGCCCATGACTGTGCGGTCGCCTGTGGCCACCACCACACCCCTAGCGGTGCCTGCGGGGCCAGAGAGAGGGGCTCGAGTCTGCTGGGGTCAGAGGGCCGGGAGTACCCGCCTCCTGAGCCGCACCTCTGTGCCCGTGCCCCCCCCCCCGGGGTCCCTCCCTCACCTTCCACACAGTTGGTGGAGAAGAAGGTGATGTTCCGGGTCTCAAGCGGATTGTCATGCGTGCAGTCCGGGGAGCGGGTCTGGGGTTCGGATTCGCCAGTCAGAGAGGAGTTGTCCACCTGGGGATGGAGTGGCACACTTAAGTACAGCGTAAGGCCCTGGGTCAGGAGCAAGGAGCCAGGGAGGAAAGCCTTCCCAGGAAGTTACAGAAAAAGGCAGGGAGTCCTGTTCACCCTGTGGCATCTGGGAAATCAAAAGACAGCAGGCAGGAACAGAACTTCTGCCCAGGTCTACAGCCCTTCAGAATTTCTGTGGAATGGGCCTGGGCCTAGACTACTAGGTCTGAAGGAGAGCTGGGGTATGGACCCCTGGGTGTGAGGGAGGAGGCTGTCCTGACCCCTGGTCTGAGGGAGGAGGCTGGCCTGGACCCCGGGTCTGAGGGAGGAGGCCGGTCTGAAGGCTTGGTTCTCACCCTCACCCTTCCTCCTTCCAGGGAGCAATTGTGGCTGTGACTGGCGACGGTGTCAATGACTCCCCAGCTCTGAAGAAGGCTGACATTGGGGTGGCCATGGGCATCGCTGGCTCTGATGTCTCCAAGCAGGCTGCCGACATGATTCTCCTGGATGACAATTTTGCTTCCATCGTCACTGGTGTGGAGGAAGGCAAGTGGTGGAGGGGTGGGGGTCGGGGTGCGGGTCAGAGTGGGGGCTGGGGTGGGGGTCTGGGTGGTAGAGGGGTGCAGGTTGGGGTGGTGGAGGGGTGCAGGTCAGGGTGGGGATGGGGTGCAGGTCAGGGTGGGGAGAGGGTTTTGGGTTGGGGTGCAGGTCAGGGTGGTGGAGGGGTGTGGGTTGGGGTGGAGGATGGGGGTCGGGTCGGGGTGCAGGTGAGGCACTGGTAGAAACCGAGTCACTGCTGGAAGCTGTATTCACGGTGAAGCAGAGGATTCTGGGAGGCTTGGAAGGCCCCTCTTCTGACTGGGCACACGCTCATAATCCCAGGGCTGAGGAGACTGAGGCAGGTAGATTGCTGTGAGTGCGAGGCCAGCCCAGGCTATGAGTGAGACCCTGTTCCATATACACATCCATACCCATGCGCTCGAGTGAGACCCTGTTCCATATACACATCCATACCCATGCGCTCGAGAGCGGGGGCGGGAGGGAGAGGGAGGTCCGAACTATAATGAGCTGAGGATATAATCCAGGTATTTCCTGGCTTGTGGAGGATTTGAGTCCCATTTTTGGCACCAGTAAAAGGAAGCTTGTGACAAGCAGGGCAGAGATGGCGCACACCTTTAGTCCCAGCGCTCAGAAGGCAGAGGCAGGTGGATCTGCAAAAAGCAAACAACAGCACAGTCGAGCACATGGGAAAATTCCATACCTTTAGTTCCAGAACTGTGGAGGCAGAGGCAGGAGGATTTCTGTGCTTCCAAGGCCACGCTGATCTACACACAAAGTGAGTTTCAGATTAGCCAGGGCTGTACAGACCCTGTCTGGAAACAAACAAAATCCAGAGCAAAGTCAGTGAAGCTAAGCCCTCCGAAACAAGCTGGCTGCCGTTGGCCCTGTGTGTGGCCTCTGGAGGGAAGCCCAGCTATCTCTTTCGGGCCCTAGACACCTCTGCGTAGGCGGACAAGGCAGGCACTCCTGGGCGGGCTCCGCCTTCCGCATCATACAACAGTGGACAAACTCGTAATAAATAACAAATTGGGAGAGGCAGATAGGGAAAGAGCGAGAGACTGTGTATGCAGGAGGCTGGGGGTGGGGGGGGCTCTAACTCCCACAAGGGACTCTTCCGGATCCCGAAAGCACCTCTCGTGGCATCTTTTGTCATTGTCACGTGGTCTCTGCTCTCTGTCCTGCCACGTGCTGTTTGCTGGCGCGTCCATAGCTCATCTGTTTGCCGAGGAACATTTTAGAAAGAACAGCTGCATGGAAGGAGAGTGACTGTCACGTGAGGACAGTATGACGTCTTTGATACAGCGAGCACTGTTTTTTTGTTTTTCCTTCTGACCGGGTGTCAGTTTGGCTGGCCTGCAGCCCAGACTGGTCTTGAACTCCCAACAATTCTCCTGCCTCAGCCTTCTGAGTGCTGGGTTTACAGTTGTGAGCCACAGCCAACTGGCTGGATTTAACAGACACATAAGAACGCAGAACGTGTACGCCAGGTGTGCTGGGGCCATCTCAGCTCTCGGCACTTCGTTCCAAGCCAGCTGGTACACACGGCAGGATCCCGCCTCGAAGTAGGGGCCGGAGAGCTGGCTCCGCAGTCAAGAGAGCACGAGGCTGCCACAGAGGGCCCAAATTTGGTTCCTGGCATCCACGCCAGGGAGCTTGCTTCTGTCTGGAAGGGCCCCGGTGTCCTCCGCCTGCCGCAGGGATCACCCTCACCTTCTGAGCAACCCACCCCTCTCCATAATTTTAAAAAGCAGCTTCGCTGGGCAGTGTAGCCACTCATGTCTGATCACAGCACTGGGGAGGCGGAGACAGGCGGTCTCTGAGTCCCAAGCCAGGCCGGTCTACAGAGCGAGGTCCAGGACAGCCAGGGCCACACAGAGAAACCGTGTCTGGAAACCTACAACAACAAACCAGCTGCTTGCTGGCGTATACCTGTAATCCCAGCCCTGTCCTTAAAAAGAAATTACAACCTGATGGGCTGCCGTGCGCCGTTTGGACATAGGTGTGTGCTGGCTTCTGTTTAAGCGGGGCCAAGCATGAGGAGGTTCAGCGCCCGTTCCCCTAGCTTCTGGGACATCCGCTGTGCGTGATCAGGGGACAGAAAGCCCCAGTCGGCACAGCGGAGTCCCACACCTGTGGCTTTCCTTTTTATGGTGTTGGGGTGTGGCCCAGGTCCTCGTGCATGTAAAGACTGAGGCCGGTGAATTGTGACGTCTCGAGGTGCCTGCCGAGCTACTTCACAGCCCCCAACTCCTAATCGCGTGTCTGTGTATGCGCACACGCCTGCGCAGGAGCCCAGGGTGGGCAGAGAGTGTTGCTTCCCCTGGAGCTACAGTACGAAGCCGTTGTGAGCCTTCATACAAGGACACCGGCCAACAAAGCCCGGGTCCCCGCTAGAGCCGCGTCCACTCCTACCCATGCAGCCAACTCTGGAGCACCCTCTGTAGGAGGAGGGGCCTGGAGATAAGAGCCCACTGTGTAGTCCAGGCTGGCCTTGAACTCGTGGCATCCCTCCTGCCTCAGCCTCCTGAGTGCTGGGATCCCTGAATAAGATGGACTCTCTTAGATTCCACGTGAGAGCGGTCACGTGGTGCTCGGACCCCTGTGCCCTCACAGAGCAGAGGCCCACCTGCCTCTGCTTCCCGGGTGCTGGGATTGAAGACGTGTGCCACCGTGCCATGTTCTCCCCAATGCCTGTGGGCAGGTTTGCTCAGACTAGCCTGGGTCCGGAGACCCGGCTGCCCTGGTCCCCCGAGGGCCGGCATTGGAGGTAGGCCCCACCGTGCCCAGCGTTGGTTTTAGTTGTTGAAACCTGCTGGCCGTGTAGGCCTGGCTGGCCTGGAGCGCGCCGTCTAACCAGGCTGGCCCCGAGGTGCTGTGACTCTGCTGCCTTTGCCTCCTGCGGGCTGGAAGGGCTGGAATTACAGGCTTGCGCCACCATGCCCGGCCTGTTCATTTTCTCTTCTGTTTCTCTTCTCTGTGCCTGTTTCAGTCTGTTGCTTTTTTTTTTTTTTTTTTTTTTTTGAGACAGCTGGGCTTGTCCTTACTATGTAGCTGAGGATAACCTTGAACTCCTGATCTTCCTGCCTCGGCTTTCCAAATGCTTAGATTACAAGCAGGCGCTACCGCACCTCACATTTTTTTTTTTAAATGGGTTATAAAAAGATAGACAAAACTGGGTTGTTTTATTTTTAATAAGTTTTCCCCATAGCTCGACACTTGGAGAAGACAGTGGGTGGGGCTGTCTGTGCTGCTGCTGCATTTTGACCTTGTATGTCCTGCGCTGACGGCTGAGTTCTAGCACGGGGCATGAGTTAACCTGCCAGGATTTTGCTTACATAGACACCATCTCCTCTCCAGGTTGTTATGCAGAAATAACGCTGACAGTGACTGTAAGGTCAGCCACAACACTGTAGAAACAAGAAACAGACAGACAGACTGACAGACACCCCCAGCTCCATTAAAGTCCCTTCCTGGCCTGAGCGCCCAGCAGCACATTTGCCATTTTCACTTGTTTGTCTAAGTGGGCTCATGCAGTATGAAGGCTTTTGTATTGTATTTTATGTTTTTTTTTTTAAATTAGCAGGCCCAGTATCCACACCGGTTTTCTTGTTTTGTCCTTTGTTTGTCATGGTGCTGGGGTTTGAACTCAGGGCCTCCTGCATGCTAGGCAAGCTCTCTACCAACTGAGCTGCAGCTGACTTTTAGCATTCAGTGTACTACCTCAGCCTCGCCCGAGGGCTCGTGCGGCCGGGGCCCCTCCCTTTCCTTCCTGTGCTGTCCTGAAGTTCAGCCACCGCTCACTGCCATGGGTTCCCAGGCTGGCTCTGCTTTGGGACCGTTAGGATAATGCTATGGTAAACACTCATAAACTTAGCTTCTGGTGCCCATGAGCGAGCATTTCCCTTGGGTGTAAGCCTGGAAGTAGAGTTACTGGGTCGATGGGGGTAAAGGGTGTTTAACCTTGATAGACCGAGCAGCTCCCCAAAGGGTGCTGTGACCAGAGGGACAAATGTGAGAGGATGAGGGTGAATTAGATAACATGCAAAGGCCTGGAGATGTGGATGGGGCTCTCATTAATAGAGCCCTGCTTAGACTCCCCCAGTGAGGGGCTGGGGGGTGGCTCAGTGGTGGAGCCCCTGCCTAGAGTCCCCCAGTGAGGGGCTGGGGTGTGGCTTAGGGGTAGAGCCCCTGCCTAGACTCCCCCAGTGAGGGGCTGGGGTGTGGCTTAGGGGTAGAGCCCCTGCCTAGACTCCCCCAGTGAGGGGCTGGGGTGTGGCTTAGGGGTAGAGCCTTGTCTGGCATGCAGGAAACAAAAAAAAACAAAAACAAAAACAAAAACCAAGGACTAGACAGGAAAGGACTTAGGGCTCCAGTAGACCCCACGTTCTAAGCTTGCTCTTCCCCTACAGGCCGCCTGATCTTTGACAACCTGAAGAAATCCATCGCCTACACCCTGACCAGCAACATCCCTGAGATCACGCCCTTCCTGCTCTTCATCATGGCCAACATCCCCCTGCCCCTCGGTACCATCACCATCCTCTGCATTGACCTGGGCACTGACATGGTGAGCTGGGCAGGCTGCCACCTAGGGCCAGGGAGGGCCACTCTTACACACATGCGCTCTGTCTGTCTGCCCCCCCCCTCCACTCACACAGCCCATCTCTCTCCCATCCAGGTCCCCGCCATCTCCTTGGCCTACGAGGCTGCTGAGAGCGACATCATGAAGAGGCAGCCCAGGAACCCACGCACGGACAAGCTGGTCAATGAGAGGCTCATCAGCATGGCCTATGGGCAGATTGGTGAGGACTGAGGCTCAGAACCAAGGGCCAGCACAGCAGAGGGGAAGCTCAGGGCGAGAGCCCTATGTCTTCCTGTTGGGGCAAAGCCCTAGAGAGTATGTCCAGGAAAGCAAAGCCCGTGGGGCTGAAGGACTCTGGGTGTCCACTCCTGAGGAGTTATGGTTTCTAAGTGTCCCGAACAACCCACGCTGGCTTCTGATGCTGTGTGGGCAAGAATGGCCCTGAACTTGTGGCCCTGCTGCCTCCACCTCCCGAGGCTGCAGTTACGGGCGTGTGCTGCCACAGCCAGTTGATTACTAACTTCGGATTAACCTGGGCCTGACTGCAGGCTGGGCAAGCACTCCACCACGGTGACACCCCAGATCGCTCTCTGTTTTGAGGCAGGGTCTCCCTAAATTGCCAGCCTGGCTTTTAATTCGTGTAAGCCAGCCAGGCCCTGGGCTCTCCGACCCTGGGTTCCAGCCTCCTGCTGAGCTGGTAGCAGACGCCTGGGCCACGAAGCCTGGCTCCTCCAGGACGATCAGGGTGTTTGGGCAGCCTGAGCTGGGTGGCAGCAGGCCTAGGGGGCCGGCTGCTGTGGCGGTCTCAGCAGGCCCTGGGGGTGGGAGGCAGTGAGCATGCTGCCAGCCCTGCCTCACCCACCCCTCGGCTCCCTCCTCCCCCAGGGATGATCCAGGCCCTCGGCGGTTTCTTCTCCTACTTTGTCATCCTGGCAGAAAATGGTTTCTTGCCTGGTAACCTGGTGGGCATCCGGCTGAACTGGGATGACCGCACGGTCAATGACCTGGAAGACAGCTACGGGCAGCAGTGGGTGAGTGGGGCTGGGCACTGAGATAGCATCTCCCTCAGTCCCAGGCTAGCCTCTCTGTCCCCGAGAGGGACCTCCCGGAACTCCTACAAAGCCAGCTCAGGCCTCGTCCCTTCAGAGCCTGGCCGCCCTCTGTCTTTCTCGGAGACCCACAGGGCCCCCCAGTCCTGGGAAATGATTAAGGCTCTCTAATTCTTCGTTCTCCTAACACCTGCCTCTTTCCGAGATCCCAAGGGGCTGCAAATCCAAGAAAGAGGGCAGATCCCAGGCCTTGGGAACCCCTTGCAGTGGGGAGTGGGGTGGATCTGAGGCCTTGGGAACCCCGCGGGGGGCGGGGCAGTGAAGGAGTCCGGGGGCTCTGGTCACAGTACGCCACCCCACCCCCGTCTCTGCAGACCTACGAGCAGAGGAAGGTGGTGGAGTTTACCTGCCATACAGCCTTCTTCGTGAGCATCGTGGTGGTCCAGTGGGCTGACCTGATCATCTGCAAGACCAGAAGGAACTCAGTCTTCCAGCAGGGCATGAAGTGAGGGCCGAGGCTGCTCCCCGGGCTGCCTGTGTCTCTCCTCCCTCCTTTCCTTGCTTTGCTCTGCACTGACTTCCTCTTGAGGGTGTTTTAGGCTCTAAGCTTATCTCCCCGCGTGGGTGAAGGGAGCTCTGGCTCCCTGGGTCTCCCTGTTTGTTACCATTGCTTCCACAAACCCGTCCCTGCTCCTCGCTTCTTTCTTTCTTCCCTTCTCTCCCTCCTTCCCTTTCTCTTCTTTCTCCCTCTCCCTTTTCACTTCCTGCTTGAGACAGTCAGTGCCCTGGTATTTAGCCCAAGCTAGGGTCAAGCTCGTGGCAATCCTCCTGCTTCAGCCTCCCAAGTGCGGGTGACACGTCCTCGCCCCCGTGCCTGGCTGTCTTTCTCTGTCACCGCTCCTTGCGTCTTCCCTGCTCTGTCTGCTCCTCTGCCTGGACCCCCTCCCCTCTGAACATCACCAGTGGCTCAGGCCCTGCTCCCTCTGCTTCTCTTCGTCGGTCTGCCTGTCTCTGTGGGTCGGGGGGAGCCTGGTGTGGGGTGCTCCAGCCAAGCCCCGCCTTCCTGTGCCCACAGGAACAAGATCTTGATCTTCGGCTTGTTCGAGGAGACGGCCCTGGCAGCCTTCCTGTCCTACTGCCCGGGCATGGACGTGGCCCTTCGCATGTACCCTCTCAAGTGAGTGCCAAGCCCCGGGAGCACCACGCTGCCACGCCCTCTGCCCTGGTGTTCCCCTGGGTGTCCCTGCTCTGCCCCTGTGCCACCCTGTTCTGATGCCACCAGGTCCCGAGCACTCCTCAGTGGCTTCACAGATCCTGGGAGATGGTCCTTCTTCCACCCCGACCCTCACGCCCCCTCTCCCCTCTCTGCAGGCCCAGCTGGTGGTTCTGTGCCTTCCCGTACAGTTTCCTCATCTTCGTCTATGATGAGATCCGCAAACTCATCCTGCGCAGGAACCCCGGGGGTGAGGGCTGCGTGCGGGGGGAGAGGGGGCACGCGGGCTGGGAGGGGAGGCGGGGGTGAGGGCTGTGGGGGGGTGCAGAGGCTGGGAGGGGAGGCGGGGGTGAGGGCTGTGGGGGGGTGCAGAGGCTGGGAGGGGAGGCGGGGGTGAGGGCTGTGTGCGGGGGAGGGGAAGGGGGGCAGTGGCTCCTCTCGGGGTGTGTCCCTTTCCTTTTCTCCTTCCTCTTCCTGTTTGCCCCTCCTCTTCCTCGCTCTTTTCCAGCCTGGCTGTGTCAGGTCCTGTCTGTGTCAGGTCCTGACTGTGTGGCTCAGGCTGCCCTTGAACTTGAGCGAGTTCCTCAGGGCTGGCGTGACAGCCTCCCTGCCCTGTCTTCTGGGTCACCCTTGTCTGTACGGCTCTTTCTCACTCTGTCTGTCTCTGTTGTTGCAGGTTGGGTGGAAAAAGAGACCTACTATTGACCTCAGCCCACCACGTGCCCCGCGCCCTCCCTGCCCCAGCCCAGGATAGCCCTCTCCGGCTCCCCCATTTTGTACTCTGAGGGGCGGGGCCTCCTCTCCCCATGGCCCCCTCTCTCCTTGTGGCCCAGTCTCATCCCCCACCGTGGCCACTTCCCACCTCGCCCTCTCCTCCCCGCTGGCTGGCTTCTCTCCCCGACAGCCCCGGCCTCTCTTCTCCTCCCTCTCCTGTGTCTCCCCCCTCTCTCCCGTGCAGCCCGGCCCCTCATTCCCTCCCTGGGCACTTTTTTACTCCCCTGAGCCCCATCTCCAGGCTGACGCCATCTCCGGTTCTAATTCTGAACAATTATCAAATATATCAGTGGGGAGAGAGAAGTGTGTGTGTTATGCTTGCCAGCCAGGAGCTGTGGGCGCGGCCTCGGCCAGGGCCCCATGTGCGGGACTCCCGCGTGCCCTGTTTAGCTAGGTGGGGTGCCACAAAATCCTGGAAGGATTTTGGATTCTAGGGAGTTAGAATTCTCAACACAGGGACTGTGGAGCAGGAGTGGAGGAAGCTGGGCGTGGCTGGTAGAAAGGATCTTCTCCTGTGAAGAGGGGCCCTGACGGAGGCCATGGCCTTATGGTACTGATAAGAACTAACTGAAGGGCTGGGAGGTTAAGAGCACTGTGTGCTCTTCTAGAGGTCCTGAGATCAATTCCCAGCACCCACGTGGTGGCTCCCTCCCATCTATAGTGAGATCTGGCGCCCTCTGCTGGCCTGCAGGTGCACATGCAGATGGAACATTGTGTAATAATTTAAAAAACAAAAAATGCACCTAACCAAAGCCCTCCCACACACCAGTGTGAGCACAGGGATGGCAGTAACTTGCAGATGGCCGAGGAGCTATGGAGGAGGTGACACATCTGGGCTTTGGAGCCTCTGAGTCTTTCACTGAGGTCAACGTTTGTACCTACCTGCACACCATCAAGTGCACAAAAAGAACAAGAAATTTGCTGGAGAGACAGCCCCGTGCTTAGGAACACTCTTAACACTCTTGCACAAGACCCAGGCTTTACCCCCAGCACCACACGGCGGCCTCTGCTGGCACCAGGAGCGCAAGCGGTGCACAGAAATACATACAGCCAAAATATGCACACGCAGAAAATAAAACTGAGATTAGGCCAGGCGTGGGCGCCGCTGAGGTTGAAGCCGGCCTAGTACTCATGGCAGGTTTTCGGCCAGCTAGGGCTACACAGTGAGACTGCGCCTCAGAAAAGCTTTTAATTAAAATTTTAAAAATTAAAGCATGTCTGGCAGCACATGGAATCCTGGCACCAGAGCGGCAGGGCAGGTGGCCCCATGCTCACTGTCCAGCTAGAGCACACAAGTCAGCTCCAAGTTCAGCAAGAGACCTGTCTCAAAAGCCATGATGTCCAGCCACTGCGGGACACACCCAGCATCAGTGTCTGGCCTCCTCACACAATATGAGCACACACACATGTGTATGTGCACACAAAAGCACACACATGAACACAAAATGTATCTGTGATAAAGCACTTGTCTAATGTAAAAATCCAGGATTCCATCCGTAGCACAAATAAATAGATAAATAACACAACCTATAATTCACTACAAAATAAAGCATTTGTGTGATCAGCACCCAAAGGTATGGGACTTTTCCATCCACCTGGAAGCTTTCCTCCGCCTACAGCTGCTGGTGTGAACCTCTCACGCTAACTCGTCTGCTTTTGTTTTTTTTTTTTTTTGCCATACTGAGGTTGAAACTCAGGACCTTGCACATGTGAGGTGAGGGGGATGCTAGGCAGGGGCTCTGCCACTGAGCCACCCCGCAGAGC